CATAGTTTGAGTGTTTTCTCACATTCAAACACAACTCTCACCATTTTGAATTTGACATGTTAACGGATGAACATCATACACCGACTATGAGACAGTCAAAAGTTACAAGCTATAAGCATTGAAAAATTTATGTACCAATATTGGAAGACACATCAGCATATGGTTAATTTAGTTAGATTACCTTTTTCCATGATTACAGGAACCACACTTCCTGTTTCTCCGACAATGTACACCTCCTTCAGTGGTCACATTAATAATTAATCCAAAAAGACATGATTTTTGTGATATCAAGAAAAACCCTTAGTGCTCTCCACTAATAACATACCTTGTTATTAACTTACATTACATGTGACTCAAATAGGTCATGCCTAATTCCAAAAGAGAACCTCTCAGTTGTTGGTACAGAAAGCACCGGAAAAAAGAAGGGAAAATACATAGAGTTACCCCTTAAACTTGTTCAAAAAAGTCATTTACACACCTTAATTTTACACCAATCTATCATCCCCTATTCTTGTCTGAAGTGGAATTATTACCACCCTGAAATGCCAAAACCAAGAATAGGGGGTGATAAGTTGCCCCTAAAGTTAAGGCATGTAAATGAATTTTCCGGACAATTTAGAGGGCAACTTTTGTATTTTACCAAAAAGAAAAGAAGAACCTGGAATGCCATTAAACCATATCCACCTGTAAGTGGCGGACATTATGGAGATTGGAGAGAAAGAAACCGGTGGTGTTCTGAAGGAAAAGACGAATCTATTTGAAAGAATTACAAGAAAATACACATGACTTCACACCATAACAAAAAATGGCCCATATTTTTAAGTTTTACCCAATCTAGCCCATATTGTACATATTTTGAAAGCACTAGCAAATTCAAAACTTTGTGTTCTTACAACCATTGCTTCTAAACGCCATGGAGTTAAATATGTGTTCTCACAACCATTGCTTTCACACTCTCNCCCATATTTTTAAGTTTTACCCAACCTAGCCCATATTGTACATATTTTGAAAGCACTAGCAAATTCAAAACTTTGTGTTCTTACAACCATTGCTTCTAAACGCCATGGAGTTAAATATGTGTTCTCACAACCATTGCTTTCACACTCTCTCTTCTTCTCACATCTTCTACATATGCTTCAAAGGGTCGTCCGCCATTGCTGCTTCTTACCCTGTGTCACCTGGTTGCAATGTAAGAAAATTGAAGAGTAGAAGTCCACCATTGAAGGCCATTCAAAGCTTTGCTTTCGAAAATAGGATTTTTTGAGTTTGTTAGTTGTTTGGATTGTGTGTTGTTCCAATTGATTGAAAATATCAAAAGGAGTCCAAAATTTAAATTTGAAGTGATTTGGAGTATATTTGAACAAGATTTGAGTTAAATTTTAGAAAAGACGAAAGGAAGAAGACGAAGTCAGTTTTATGTATAATCTTGTATAATAGTGTATATAAGAGTATAAACACATCTTATACACTATTATACACCTTTATACAAGCGTCTGTAGACAAACTTCTTCCACGATTTTCAGTTACAATTCTTGTTTAAAACCAGTCCAAATCTTCATTAAATGACTTCAAATTTTATATACAACCTCCTTATACTATTTCTAACAAGTCTAAATAACACCCACTCCAAATTTCTCACAAAATCAAATTCGAAATTTAAACCCACATGTTTAAGCTTGTTAAAAATTTAATTTTCGCCATCCAAATGGATTTGGTTTGTTGAACTAATATTTGAGTCACAGTTACTGATTCGAAAATTAACTTAAAAGCTTGAGCAATCTTTTTTAAAAATTAAATAGTAATTTCTAGAACCTATTGGAGTTGGATGTTGAATCTTAGCCTATTATTTTTGGGCTAGTTGGTTGTAAATTGAAATATGGGCTATAAAATTGAAAAGCAGGGAGCTCAGTTTGTTCTTATGTGAAATTTTCCCAATCTATTTTGAAGATCAAACTCAGTTGTATACTTTTGCTTTCTTTTTGGCAAAAAGAGGAATATATGTATCCGTGTTAGATTCATTAATTGCCTACAGTACTAAAAGGAACTATACTTTTGGGTCAGTTCACAATTGTACAAATTACAGCACCATCTTAGTGTTGTCTTTTGTGAATAAAATCCTCATTTTACTGATAAAAAAATAACATACATGTGATGACATGCACTAAGGTTATGTAGTCATTCGAAGGAAAAGCTTAAGAATGCCTGTAATGTCATCCATATAAATTTATTTTTCGTCCAGTCAAAAGTACATATGTTTTCTCAACAATATTGATTGACTCATAAAGCAAAATAGAAGTGCTAGATTTTATGAGATCTCTGTTACATGTAACGTCACCAAAAGCTGGAAGTATGGAGAAATACTCTAGAGAATAAGCATCTTCGTAAAAGTAGAAGCAAGATAAAACATATGTACAGTCAAATAAGCACCCAAAAGAAGGATTAACACTAAGGGTGTGTTTGGTACGAAGGAAACCATTTTTCGGAAAATGTTTTCTAATTTTCCCATGTTTGGTTGGCTTAAATGTTTTGGAAAATATTTCCCTCATCAACTCATTTTCCTCCAACTGGA